ATGGATGTAGAGGCGAGGAGCGTGGAGGAGCTGTGGTATTTGGAGGAGGGACTCTTTCAGAGACGTGACTTCCTGCTTTCCAGTGAAGAAGAAGAGAGGCAGCAGTAAACCATCAGAGCCTCATCATGAAAGTGCGTCACTCCTCTCTGACCTGTGAGTACATTCACCTCTTTGTTCTGTCATGAATGTAAAAACTGCAGCACTGAAAGTAGGCACAAACCTTCAGCTACATGGTGGATTTTATTAAAGTCAGACATTCATGATGCTGCCGAACTTTCAGAGTCAGCGTTCAGTGTATCACTAAACTGGAGTTATGCATAATTCAGTTATATTACCAGTGGGCAATGAGTAGCATCTGAATCTATGTTGTAGAGTAATGAAGTTGTAACTGTGTGTGTGTGTGTGTGTGTGTGTGTGTGTGTGTGTGTGTGTGCGTATAAAGCTAATAAGCTGTATAGATAAGCTATCAGCTCTGCTGTTTAATGTCAGTTTCATCAAAAAACACATAATCAGATGTAGCTCAGGAACTGAAACCTCATGAGTGCGGTCACTGAAGCAAGTTTTGTCTGATGGTAATCACTGAGTCACTTTCACTGAAACATTTTTCATGAATAATTAAGAAAGTAGAATAGGTGATTTCTTCCTGACCGCTCCACAAAGTTCCTCAGCGGCTTCCTGTACTCCAAATCCTGACTGTCGTCAGCCAAACACTGCATTGTCATTGGATAACCTGTGCAGGCAGCACGTTTCACTGTTGTGCTGGTAAACAGGAATGCAGATGGGACCTGTTCACTGTAGAAATGGTGACGCCCATCCTGTGCACAGGTATTGAAAGCACTGGAAAAAGCAAAAAACATGATTCTCACAATGTCACTAGTACCATTCAGGTGAGAGTGAGCATGCTGCTGCAGGGCATCATCCACCCCATCAGAGGCTATAAGCAAACTGAAGAAGGTCAAGAGCATGTTTCACCTGCAAGCTAAGCCGAGCAAGAACCAGTCAGCACCTTCATGACATGTGACGTCAGAGCAGCTGGTCTGAGAATCAGCCCTTACATACTGTTTATATTTCATACAATCACACTATAGGATTCATGTACTTTTGACCCAGGCCAATAATCCCCTCATATTGTTCAGTTCTATTCACATGTACAAAGAACCTGACATTAATAATTGGATTATTAATCTTTCACAAAGATAAGAGAAACACAACAGCTGCATCACTGATCAACAAGCGTTTTGCTGCTGGGCTTCTTTCACCTGTACTTCATCCAACACGTCCCATGTTATTGGACAAGTAGGAAGTCTGGACAGAAATGTTTGGTCTCGACAAAAGTGAAGCCAGAATTAAGGAAGATGTTCTTGTTGCTCCCAAAATTCAGGATTTAATGAGCATGTGAGTGTCAGAATGTCACTGAAGATGATTTTCTTACATTCTCATCTCGACTTCTTTCCACCAAATTTGAGCAAAGTCAGAAATGAACACGTGGAAAGATTCATCAACAGGAAATGAGATGGAAGAGCGATAGCCGAATCGTAATCTGAGCAGGATGTGTGACTGAGAGAGACACAAACACGTATCACTACAGTTTGATTTACTTTGATTTCATGCATTGACTCATGTTAAGAGCCTCCGTGCGGCTCCTCAGCCACATATGTATGTTTTCATGTATTGCTTTGCTGTTTTTATTTATGTTCCCCTACTGCCCCCCCCCTCCCTCACCGTTTACAGAGCAAACAAGAAGGAAGTGTCACTGAGATCTGCAGCGTGACGCCACCAACACCTTACTGCTGTTTGCTCCTTGGAGTGTCTCCTTTTGTGTGTGTGCGGCCTCTGTTTTTGATGGGGCATTGGGACATGTGTGTGTCACAGTATCAGTTAATGGACTGTAGGGGGCAGTGCACCCCTGCCCTCCCTCTGATCCTCCTCCCTCTGTCCTTCCTCTCCCTCATGTTTCCATTCACTCAGGGAGAACAGCACATCCCCGAAAACTGTGAGTCCTCACTCTTTCACAGCAAACGTCTCACACTGGATAAATGCACGTATGTGTGAAATGTAATAATATATTTATAAATTATATATTATATAAAGTAGCAGTAAGGGAGGGCTGGTTCTGTTCTTCCACATTCTGTATTTCCATTTAATTTCTTACTTATTCTGCCTGAGCAGCAGCTCTATGTAGTCTATGTACAGTAATAATTCATGGCACAGAGTGGTGGCTCTAAAATACTGCAATACCCATAAACCTCTGGGTCTGTGCAGAAGAGCAAACATTCATAAATGACTTCAGTTACATTTCTGGGAATGTTCCCACGAGCTCGTCTCACCTCACGATGCTCTGAAAAGTTAAAAGTGGCAGTGACTCTTTCCTTCAAGCTAAACAGATGATAAGATGAGATTTATGGACGACCAACAACTGGTTAAATTAAAAATAAAAGACTTATTAATGACATATTAAATAATATCCAAGTAATATTTTGATGGATTTAAAGTATGAAGTGTGACATTTAATATTCAACTTCTACTGGAAATGTCAGTTTGCAGTTTTACTGCGAGACTGGCAGAAATAATGATAATAATAATAATCAGCCTTGTGTGTGTGTGTGTGTGTGTGTGTGTGTGTGTG